GCCGAAGCTCAGACTCTGGCACAGGATTGGGAACGTTGGAAGCACTGTCTGACGCGTCTGCCTCCGCGACTCGAAAGTAGAAGCGGCGATGGAAGATCGAAGAAGTCGATAAATACTTGAGTCAAGAGATCAACCTGCCACATGATCAGGCGGAAGAGATTGCACGAAGAAAGTGAGCGTGCTGACGCGCCTTCCATTCCATTGAAGATGTTCTCCTCAGGAGCATCAGAAAAGATGGTCGCGTCAGCCGTTTTAATTCTACCGTTTCATGGACAATGCTGTATGTCTATGAGACGTGGCGATTAACTAAAGCCAAAGAGTGTCAGGTATTTGTCACGGAAAATCCATGGACAGAAGAATGTTGGCAATCTGACGTCGCGATCACATCCTAAAGCGATGATCGAACAGCGGACGGAGTGAAAGAGGTTCATCGTCGAAAGCAAAAAGGAGAAACTGCGTAGAGCTGGGTACATGACTCAGCTTTCCGACGTGTGATTGTCGGTGCTGGTAGCCAATTGGTACCTTCTGTATCAGATAGTTATTTTAATTAAATTTATATCCGGTGCCTATCCTTTGAAGATTTTCTGCGAATAAGTATTCATAACAGTGTATTATATATGCTTCGGAATAAAAAATTATGCCTAAGAGTATAAATTTTAACTTGTTTTCTTGTCATGATGAGACACCGGCGTTTTGGACGAACCTCGCTCCGTCTTTGGAGTTGTGACTCATGACCTAAAGTAGCTTTCCCATTTATTTAAAGCCACAATGTTCGCACAAAATTTCTAACCACTTATATGTCAAATCTGTGAAAGAAAAGAATACGTTAACCACCAATGGTAACATATGGAGAAACCTGGCTATCCTCATTAATAATCGCCAAATGAAAGAATCATGAGTTAAATTTTGGTACAAAGCCATGTATTACGTCTGTCATACGAGGCCGTTATATCCATTAAGTTATTTTCATTAACGGATGTTAATAGACTGTGGGCAGTAAAATTTTACCGTTGGCATCTAGAGCTCAGCTGTCGC